GGCGGAGGGAGCCACTGCACCGGCGGCCGTAAAATTCTAATTGCGGGGCCAGTGACGGGCCCCCTGACGGCCGCAGGCAGCGCGTTCGGGCCCCACAACCGTTATTGGGCCCGGGGGAAGTGCCCTCTTTGCCCTGCGTTAAAGACGGCCCTGGATAGGAGATCAGTACACAATCTTCCTCTCCAGTCCCTGAATGCAGGAAGTGATGTATATTAAATCACTTCCTGCATTCAGTGCCACAATCCAGCTACAGGAGCTGATGAAGCAGATCTCTGGGGGTCCCTAGAAGACATTAGGGTTCTTGGAGACCCCTGATATCTACATAAAGAGGGCCTGTCATGTAAATTGGCTATCACATAGGGGGCTTCTTAGCCCCCTATGTGAAAGCAATAAAGTTGTGTGAAAAAAAAAGTATTATAAAAAAATAAAGAGGCATAAGGCCCCCGCCCCCCACGTGCACACGCAGATATGCTTCGGGTGTGCCTACATGCAATTGCACCTTTTGTGCCGCACATGATATACATCACCACGAACGTTGGAGTGAGAGCAATAATTTTAGGGTCATTAATAACCAATAACACTAAACTGATAAGCAATATAAGCGTTTAAAGCGTTGCCTATGGTCAGTTTTCGGTGTGGTCGTTTGCTGCGATTTTGCGGGCGCGCACAATTTTAAAGCTTGACATGTTTGGTGTCTATTTACCCGACGTGACCCCGTCTTTGATATTTTACCACAAATATGGGTAAGAATAAATGTTTTATAACATAACGGAGGGAAAACATTTTTTTATGTGAAATGTACAGTACTTTTTTCATTTTATAGTAAAAAAGTACCACCCTCAGTGGTGATTATATACCACCAAAAGAAAGCTCTATCTGTCCCCAAAAAATGTTACCATAAATTGCAAGCCGATAGTCTGGTCATGCTGACTGGTGACATTTTTGACTGACTGGTGAGACACCCTAACATTTTTCAAGCCCTGCACATAATAAAATAAAATGCAAACAATAATTAAAAATTAACTGCATAAATTGCATATTTTAGGTCAAGCGTTTTTAATTCCAGCAGCCATTTCTGTCTCATATCTAAATTCTACATATAACTTTACACAAAACCCTGACCCTATGGAAGTAACGCACAGAGTGCAGAGCTCCGAAGTAAGCAACGCATAGAGTGCAGGGGTAAGATGTAAGCAGAGCACATAGTGCAGGGTAGAGCTGCAACAGTTAATCGATTAATTCAATTAAAATCGATGATTGAAAACGTTGGCAGCGTTTTCGATCGTCGATTCGTCGGCTATCGATTGATTAGACTGTTCGGGGCTCCGCACTAAGCCTATGTCGTGCGTCACGCGTCACATGCTGCTCCTGACGTGCCCACCGCACAGGCCGCAGCCGCCGCATAAGCCACGCCCACCGAACAGGCTACGCTGAGGACATGCGTCTGGCCCTCTCCTCCCGGCGAGCTTCCCGACTCGCCGCTGCCCGCCGATAACCAACAACGCCGCTGCCCGCCGACAACGCCGTCATTCAAAGTAAGTCGAGATCAGCCGGGAGCTTTTTAATGTTTCCTGTTGTGTTTTTGTTTTTTTAAGCGGCACACCGCAGAACATTAGCAGCTATAGAAGAACAACAAATCCCAGCAATAATACATTAAACAGCCTGTATAATGTATAATTGCTGGGATTTGTTGTTCCTCTATAGCTGCTGGTATTCTCCATCGCGCTGTATAATGTATTATTGCTGGGATTTGTAGTTCCTCTATAACTGGTCAGTGGTAATCTGCATTGCACAGTAAAATCATTATACAGCGCACTGCAGTCAGCTGGATTTTTTTACATAGAACATTTTTAGCAGCAGATGAAAACAATGAGGGCCCATTCACACTATAAAGAGTGCGTTCCAGTGCATTCAGCCTCTGGAACGCAACTCGGCCAGATCACTTTGTTTTGGGGTGGAGGGGGCGTGACGGTGCATTGAAGTGAATAGCACCGTCACCACGCCGCCGGCCCGCAGTGCGATCGCCAGCACCCAAACACGTGGCAAATTAGTGTCTGCATTCCGGTCCAGTGCGATCTACAAAAAAGTATTTTTGCAGATTGCACTGGACCAATGCGCAAGCACTAATATTCCATGCGTTTGGGTGGTGGCTGTGATGCTATTGACTTCCGCCACGCCCCCTCCCATCCCAAAACAAAGTGAGCTGGCCGGGTTGCGTTCCAGAGGCAAAACGCACTGGAGCGCACTCTTTATAGTGTGACTGGGCCCTGACAACAGTATTTTTTTTAAAAGGATGATTTTTTATTTTTTTTGTAGCATGCATTTTCCTTTTTTGAAGAGGGGTGCTTCACTTACCTGATCTCTCTGCACCTGCTGCTCCTGATCGAGGGGTTAACTCCCTGTGTCCCAGACCTTTCTTACCCTCTGATGGTATCGGCCTCCTCCTTGCT